AAGTAATTACAAGAATCGAATCGTTAGTGGATACTTTCTTAATCAAGCTTGATTTTAAGCGAAAACAGAGCATGGCTTGGTGGTCTAGTGGTATGATTCTCGCTTAGGGTGCGAGAGGTCCCGGGTTCAATCCCCGGCCAAGCCCGGTTGCTTTCTTTTTCCTTGTTTTTTCTTCCTGTATCGTTTATGCCCTGTTGTTATTTGCGTTATATTCATTTACGTGTTCTCCACTCGAAAGATTCGTCAGATGAAAATGTGATTCTTCATACATAAACAACAACAAGACGAATATTTTTTACATATAAACTCAATATTCTCATCTTGTTCTTTTTCATTTCGTACAACACTGAACTACTCACATAAAGAGTCAAAGAAAAAGAAGAGAAAGAAAGAGTGAAAGTGAAGAGGAAAATGGTTGTTTTAACTTCTCATCTGTATGAAATCAAATACAAATATATACATGTATATTTGTTAAGGCAGTAGTAGTCGAGAAATCAAAGAAACATATACACACATGATGATTGACTGAAACTATAGAGAGTATTCGAAGGTAACATGCCGATTACATCTCACCGAAAAGATAGTCAGAAGAGAGTAAATCATCAACGACAAAATCATGATTCCGATGAATACTTTGATTATCGATACTACAAATCACCATCGACGAATGCAAGTTATGAATATGAAGATCAATATTATCAAACACGTACAACAAATAATTTCACTCCAATGCGGCGAACGTGAGTAAAACAGTAGATTATGTCTGAGAAACCTATTGAAATCTTTCAGCGTAATGAGGAATGATCAGTATTTTGTGATTCGAACAATGTCTTAAGGTTTCGATTTCTGATTAGATATCGAATAGGATGCTTAGGAAAATAGAAATCATTTGTTAATCAATTATTGATAAATAGGCGTGGCTTGGTTTGAACGAACTTGTCAAACGAACATATTTAACTAAGGTAGACATTATAGAGACAAATGTATGTTTCCTGAGTTTAACGAATGAATTGAAAAAGAAAGTATGAGAAGTTGGGGACAATACTCGTTGACATCGTATGAATAATAAACCTTTATGTTCTTTTCTCTCGTATTGAATCATTAAGTAACATGACTTGCCATATTTTCCGTAAAGTTCGACTTGAAGGAAAGAATGACTTTTTCAAATGCGTAGATTGTTGTGTGACAAAAACAAGATTTGCGACATGATTGATCAATCAATAATAATGAATGACCGGTTTTGTTCTCCTGTGGCATGTGAATAAAGTCTCAATTAAAATTTCACTAAGAAGATTTTAATTACTGCTTGTTATGTTTTGAAAACAAAAGAAAAGTACTGAGAACATTTGCACATCATTTGTTTTTCAACCGAGAACAGTACACGATGCCTAAAGCAGCAGTGGAAAGATATTCCTTTATCGAGATTCCAGCAACTTCAGAATCAAATCATTTACAAATTCCGACGAGTAACGATGATCTCCTAACGAAAAATTACGAACCGTATCCACCGGAACATGGTGCACAAGGTCGTATCCGTTTTCTTGAACCAAACCAGTATCCGCAGCCATCGAGAACACCGCGAAACATACCATCGCTTGAAAGTCTGGAAATGACCTCTTTCGAAACCATGGGTGATTTGCATCAAGATGGTCCGAATTCGGTTAGTCGCGGCCTTCAAACAGATATCAATTCCGCATCCGTCATCGATTGGGTCATCGCCCAAAAGAGTTCTTCAACCGCTGATAGGTATAAAAAGATTTAATTTATCAGTGATATGATGGATAAGTACACATAAGTCAAGTGTCTTCTTAGAATGTTGATGATAGATATGCATAAAAAATAAGAAGAATAGAGAAGAAGACCTACCTTGTGAGTAGTTCGAAAGTCATATGTAATGACGATGAAAGACTACACGTAAAAAGAAGAAAAAGAAGAGAGAAGAGAAAGAACAAGAGAAGAATTCTAGTTTCGAGACTGCAGCTTTATTGTTTCATATGTCTATAGGACACTTAGGCATCGTTATCGTAAGAAAAGAAGAAGTGGTGAACAAAAAGAAACGAACAAACCGACTAGTTTGTATTATGATCGATTTTTAATGATATTGAATACGATTCTTATATAATGTCTGCTCTGACTGTATCAACATATAGTTCAATAAATACTTCAATGAGTAGAAACATGCCCAAACAGCGCACACATTAGTAAAACAACTTTCTATCTCGATTTCATTTTGTTTTCTTTTGTCATTTAGTGTATACCGCAATGATCCACTGGAAGAAGTCGGTGCCGACAAAGCTCGCGTTCGAGTTGTTGTTCGGTAAGTGTTCTTCATTATAATCTCTGCATATCTCTATCAATTTTGTTCTTTAATAGTGTTCGACCGATGAACAGTCGTGAATTAGAAAGAAATGATCGAACTATAATACAAATGGAAAATGATTGTTCACTTATGGTAACTACCACTAATGATGCTAGTTCATTGTTGAGAAGTATTTTTTGTATAACAAACAGGTTCAAGGTGCGCAACATAACCGACGGTTTACATTTGATAGTATTTTTCGAAATGATTCAACCCAAGAAGATATTTTTCAAAACAGCGGAATCAAACGTCTCGTTGACATGTCGATCGAAGGGTAAAAGACTTGACTTTGTTCTATCGTGACTTGAACATTTCATTTTTCAGTTATATTACAACATGTTTTGCATATGGTCAAACAGGTAGCGGAAAAACACATACAATGATCGGTCCCGGAGGTGCAAGTGTTGTATGTATTTTATTTTCTATGTTAAAACAAAACTTTGTTGTATTCTCCTAGTTTCGTATGGATGAAAACTACCGCATAAAGCATTTCGGATTAGTTCCACGAGCAATCAATTATCTGTTTCAACGTTTACGAGAGAAATCTCAAGAAAGCCATTCTCCTTACTATATTCGTGTATCCTATTGTGAAATTTACAATGAACAAGTATGAAAAATGACTTTCATAGCTGTATTTCCTTCTTTTCTTTCTATTAGATTCATGATTTGATCAATCCAGCTCATACGCAAGGCCTACAAGTTCGTGGCTCTGTTGAAGATGGATTTTATGTCGAAAATCTCTTTCAAACGTACATTGAAACTATGGATGAACTATTAACAATACTTGAAGAAGGTTTGGATGACATTTTTCTCCCTAGTTGTTTATAAAGAACGATTTGTAGGCGAATTAAATCGCGCAATGGCGTCACATAATCTTAATGATACATCCAGTCGCAGTCACGCAATGCTTTCCATTCAAGTCGAACAGGATATAACCGAATCGGAAAATTCTACTGAGCAAATGACTCGACAGGGAAAATTGATTTTCATTGACTTAGCCGGTAAAATCCTCTTTTAACAAATCTTTCACAAAAAACTTCTCCTATTTTTCACTCAACAGGCAGCGAAAAGGTTAAAGTAAGTTTATCGAAAGGTAAACAATTAACTGAAACGAACAATATCAATAAAAGTCTGCTGACATTGGGTACGTGCATATCAGCCCTCAGCGATCCTGTTAAACGTGCCGGTCATATCCCTTATCGAGATTCGAAGTTAACTCGTTTATTAGCTGACAGTCTAGGTGGTCATGGTATCACTTTGATGGTAAGTTGAGTTCGTTTGGTTTTGTTTGTAGTTTCTTGATTTTCTTCGAGATTGCCTGTGTATCTCCATCAAATTCGTGTGAAAGTGAAACACTGAGTACGTTACGTTATGCAAATCGTGCAAAGAATATCGAAAATGCGCCGATCGTCAAAACTGACTCGAAAGAAAACGTTATCAACCGTTTGAAACGTGAAGTACGCAAATTGAAAGATGAAAATTACGAACTAAGACAAAAACTCGGCTCGCAATCCACTGTTTTACCAAAACTCAAACTTCGACACACCGATTCAGGTTCTCAATCATCAATGCGATCATCGGCCAGTAGCGATGTGTATGACAGTCGTCAAGACAATGGGTATATCGGATTGATTCGGTTGATATAATATTCGTGGTGAATTTTTAGAGACCGACTGAGCGGAACAACGACAAGAAGAATTCGCACTGATCATGAACTGTTAACACGAGAGAACGAAAAACTCGTCAGAAAACTTGATCAAGTTATGAGAGAACAACAAGCACAACCCGGTGGAAAACAAAATCTTATACACGAACAAGAAGTAGACCTTTCTTCTATTCCTAAACAAATTAATCGTAGATGATTTTCTTGTAGAGTAATCCACCGGATAATCATTACGTTGGAAAAAATGCTCGTGAATCAGATGAAGAAATGTTTGTACCTGAAAAATTCTCCTTTTATCGAAACGCTTATTTTATCAATTCTAGGATGCAGTTGACTCGTCGACCATCTTATACATCAAGATATCGAAATATTCGCGATAAAAATCAAGGTGAAACAGCGCCGCAACGACGCACAACCAATATGAATCGGCGTGGACTTGATACGGCTGCTGTTGACGGTAGGTTTTTTCTTCGATGAATTTCTGTTCTAACTAATTTCTTTTAGTTCGTCGGTAATTTCGAAAATGCCAAATTCTTTACACAAAATATTTCCATCTTAAGTGGCAGTCAATAATATAATTGATCATTTTCTATCTTTTTCTTCTTCATTCGTTGTTTGACATGTGTACAAAAAGAAATCTATGAAATCGAATATGAAATTTTCCGAAGCAAATGATTTGATATGTAAATGAATTGAAATAAGATCTGAACAGGTGAAGAAGTAAATACTATTCCTTATTTTGTGTTTTTCTCTTCATGGTCAAATGAATTTCTCAATTAGATCGTTGACCTTTCTTTCTTCGATCGAGAGAGAGAGGATAATCACGTAATATCATAAATAGAACGATAAATCGATGCCCTTTTACAGCAACATGTTTTGCCATTCGAAATAGCAATCATTTTTCTCATCGAAACTCAACGTATAGATCATCATATTCAAATGAGAGATTAATCAATGGAAACATTTTTTTCGCACTTATCAATCAAATGGATACATTCACCTGTTTACCACCGATCACGATAGACTACTGTCAATCAGATCGAAACGAAATAGTCTTATCAGTATTAGCAAGTGTTCTTCTAATGAATACGAGAATGAAAATCAATAATCGATAAAGGTTAGTCTCACTGTGAAGACAGTAATTTTTCGTTTGGGACACTTCTTGGACAATGATTATGAAATGGCGAGCCGATATCGAGATATGTTGGAATTGAAAACAAAAACGACGTTTTACGTCAAAATCAACGACATTTATATCAATGTCCGCTAGCTGGAGCAGAAGATAAAATAATCAAGTCATTTCGTTATTCGACTCCTGTTTTGGGAATCATTTGATTATTGTTAATAGCAATATATTTTACATTCTAAAGGAGAAAACACACACACACACACACACGAAATTTGTCGTAAAGAAGAAGACGAAGAAAAAAAAAACAATGTTTTCTTTTGGTTTTTGTCTTTAAGAAGCCTGTGGTGTCAATGGTAAGCCATATGAAGATGGATAATATGGTGTTGTAACCGCAAAATTACTTGCTTGTGTGTAGGGGAAAGCATTAAAAAATGATGTATAATTGTTTGTATTGTTAACAGTTGTGTTCGAATGATGGTGATGATGATGGTGCTGATGATGATAGGGATGAGCATGTGTAAATGCACTTGAAATATCGCCATTATTTGATGGGTTTGATGTAAGATGATTCCCATTAGCATAGGGTGATTTCATCGCTGATTCAAATTGATGTTGAAATGTTGGATGATAAGCAACAGTTGGATAAAGATAACGATGATGATGCGCTGCCGCCGCTGCTGCTGCTGCTGACGATGATGTTGACTGGTCATAAGGGGACCATGTCGGGGGCTCGATTTTGCATATTGAACCTGATGATGAGACTGCTGATGGAGTATTAATGGGCGAAAGATCATGTTTAGTCATTAATGTTGCTGATGAGGGTGATGTAACAGATGATACTGTATTTGATATGAATGAGGACGATGATGGAACCAGTGGTGGCGAATTGGAGTTGCTATGTTCGCTACTTCCACCTCCACCACTTCCACTACTTGGTTGAGATAAAGGACCGATTTTGTTGCGTAAAATACGTGAAATAGATGAGACCGAGGGAACATTGAATTTATCGCATACATTGTCCAATAGTAATTTTTCGCGAATTTCCCATGCGAACATTCCCGGATCTTTGACTTTATAGTCACGTATACGACCCACAACCCGTGGCGTTGTTACACGTGGCTTACTCCCACCAATAGCACCTGGTAATACAGAACCTCCAACAAAAGAAAACGAAAAATAAATAACAACAAATCTTTTTTTTGACATCTATTATACCTGTTTCATGGTAACGTGCTAGAATTTTGCTGACACATCCATGTGAAACTTTAAGTCGACGACTTATATCGCATGGACGTACTCCTAAATTGGCCATTTCAACAATTCGTAAACGAATTGGCGTAGGTAAGGGTCGTCCGTTAACAAAGACGCCGCCCAATTGATTAACTTCGCCATAACTTTGATTTGAACTTGTATCATTAAAAGAATAATCTCCTGAAAAAATCCATAGAACTGATTAAAATTTTGCTCATTTTCATTCCTTGTTATTATTCATAGTTTATCTTTGATAAAATATAAAAACACTCCGGAAGCACGTAGTTGTCATCATCATCGATCACATGCACAGTAGGAGTCATTCTTTCTCACATTTACTATACTCAATATGTCCAAAGGAAGTCGAAACTGATGATGACGATGATAATAATCATTTAGCAAGTCTGTGAGTATCAATACGAAACTTGATCATCTATCATTTTTTTCCTTTTCTGGCATATTGAACTGTTGTCAGAATTTCCTTTCGGATCGCACATGGATTGGTTGAATAAAAGAAAAAAGCGATTATGATGATCGATAATATGTTTATTTAAAAGAATAGATAATGGGTGAAAGTCAAAATATTGTCTCTTGTTAGAAAATAAATCTCTGATCAAAGACATGGAATCTGACTGTGTATCACTTGATTAGAACATTAACGATTTCTGAAATCTTCTACCAGCTGCCCAGAAAATGAAGTACATTGTCAAGGGTGTTATCTTACTTGACAGAAATGATTTTATATTACAGTAAGACTAGATGAGATCAACAAGTCGAATTTCTAAGAAGAGAAAAATATTCTTACTCTTTTTTTCTCTGCGTCTGTCTTTTTTTTGTTCTATCTGTGGACGTTTGTAAAAAAAAAGAATAAACTAAGTGAGCATAGAAGTAAATGCTCTAGTGTGTCACTGAGGCAACACGTCTCAACGAAAAAAAAATGATGAAACATTTTTGTTATCTCGCACATAGAATCGTCATTCATCTGTAGACAATTTACATACCCATTGCAATCGTTTGTATGTTAGTGGATGCAGACAAAGCAGGTAGGTTGATCTACTTTTGTTACGCTCGGTGTCCCGTGCTTGTGTATGTTGGTTCGATTAGTTCACGGTTCGATTCGGTTTTTCCGTTGCACTCGGTTTCACTCGAATTCACCTTACTGCCGTTCGCTTTCAATTATACTTGCAACGTTGCCTTTTTCTTCTTCTTCTTCTTTTTCTATCATTCGATCTCTCAATCTCTCTTTCTCTCTATTTCTTCGGTACGCGCGCTTGTATCCATTTTTAGGTTTGGTATTAACACTTCTCTCTCTCTCTTCTCTCTCGCTGCTCTATTACTTTAAATGCTTATCGGGTATCAACCATTAAGAATTTTATCTCTTTTTCTCTTTTCCTTTTTCGTGCCCGATGTGAGAACTTATCACGAGAGAAGAAGGAAAAAACGCGAGATATATTTCAACCAATCAACATCCAGATGATACGAGGGAACGAATAGGAATATTGACTTGTAAAATAAGCAAGAGAAAATAATGAATTTATGTGTTTATTGATACTCTGATCTTTCTACTTGGGTAATGAATGGCATCGTTAAGAATGTATGAACAAAAACGGAAAATTTTCTTTCAAAAATCGTCTCAGATCACGATTCACCGATAGAACATGATTGACACAACCGACTGTATTGATGAACAAATACCCTGTCTAAGATAGTTGTCATTATCTGATCTTGTGAAAAACAACGTTCTTGTTTCGGAAAGTTTTCCTCAACGATATCTGAAGATCTAAACAGTTGAGTAGTTTTCTTTTGACATTTGAGTTAAACGAAACCTTGATATTATCTCGGAACCTTCATATGAGCACAGTGAAAGTATAGAACGATGTTGTCTATTGACTGTTGCAAACTTTGTATATAGATATATTAAACAAGGAGAGTATATATAATGTGATGAAGACGATCAAATATCATTTACTGACAGACCATAAGGTACTTAGCAATAGNACAACTTCGTAAGAAACATGTAGTTCACATATCACCACTGTTACTATTCTCATCATCATTTTCATGAACATTTTCATTCTCTTTCGTCTATCAATGTCCGATGTTGAAATATAGTTGGCAAGCTTATCATCATTAACACGCAGTGTGAGAAAAAAGAAGGCGAAAAAAAAGAAACGAAAGAATGTATGTCTAGTGTCTATTTTGCGTTTTATTCATTTGTCCGACCATAGTAAAGTAATATCAATCAGTAATAATATGTTATTGAGGTCAACAATGAGGTAGCAAGACATTGAAGTTTAGTTGTATCGAAATGAAATTTGTGAACAAATTTTCTTTCTTTTATAGTTGGCTCCATGTTCAATCAGAACGGCGGAACAACGTTAGTTTCTCAATTACTTGACTCAATCAATGATCATCTGACAAGTGCTCATTCACCCATGGAAGAAAATACTGAACAGCAATCATCACAAAAACAAAATCAACAGCCACAGCCACCAGAATATGAAATGTCCGTCGACAATCCCGATGATGATGAACTTTGGCTTAGCGGCCATCGATCGATCTTTTCATCGTATGGAAGTTATTGTCGTAAAGCGCCTGCTCAACTTCGTGATAGTCAATACGAAGGGTTCCATTGGGATTTATATGAAGATCGTAATTATCACCATCTAGCTTTCGAACAGGAACAACCGGATGTTCCAGCTAATTGTCAAGCAACAAGTCTTTCGGAATGGTCAATGCGATTAAGTTCAGGTGTGATTGGTGCTGAAGGCGATACGGAAGATGATGCTGATGGTGAAGGTGATGATACCACCTCATCATCGGATCCACCGCGTACCTCATGGCATGCGATAAAATCAAAATCGATCCATCGAAGTTGTTCATCGTCATCGGCCAACACATCTGATGGCGGCGCGCATCGATCACGTAGTCCTCTAACATTGTACCGTTTATTTCAACGTGCAAGATCTCAACAACATCCTTGTCGAATCTATCAAAACTTCAGTGATAAAAGTATTTGTGATTCGCTAACATCATCATCCTGTTCGAATCTGAACAAACTAAATGAATCAACCACGCAGAAACATAATGTGCCTATACCAAGATTCCAACTGAAAAGCCCAACGACCTTCTCTCAATTAAAATTAAATAAATCTAGTAGTCATAACGATCTTTATTCATCGACAGAACAGTCAGTGACGAAGAATAAAGTACAATTCAAGGGTAAGTCCGAAGCATTAAATGATCAGCTATCATTGAATCCTGTTCGAGAAAAAAAAAGAAAGAAAAGGGTTGAACCATTTACACCGTCTATGTGTCCCAACCGTCAAAACTTTCTTTGATTGACACTTAGATAAGTACACATGAAAGCTTTATCTGACGTTGTTGTTTTTTTCGTTTTAGCTTCTAATCAAGCTAGTTCTCGTCGTAGTGTTGATCAATGTCTTCAAACATCTATACATGTTGACAATAGTTCATCACCTCAACCAAAATCAGCACGTCGTTATATTCCCCGATCGACTTCTCGACCATTGAGTACACAAAATCATTGTTTACAAACAGACAATACCTCTGTCACTCGTTCGAAGAGCGTTGACCGTTTATTAAATAACAATACTCAGACTTCAAATGCGAATACTCCTAGTCAAACATTCAAACTTCCATCATCTGCATCTCATTCGTCACTACCAACATTGTCATCTTTGCCCGATCTCAGTTTTCTTGTTTATTATGCGAAAGAAAATCCAACACCATCACAACCTTCATCATCCGCCACGACAACACCTACATGCCATCCGGCACATCCACATCCTCCTTGTGGAATGAAAACAACATTTTCCGAACCATCGTCATTAACGAAGAAAGCAACACGAACTGTCTTCTATTGTAGTTTAAAAGTGCCATCAGCAACACCGTTAATATCGAATCCCTTGCGACCAACATCACTTCATCCTCCTCTTCCTTCTTCTCTATCAACAATGCAGCGACCACGAACACTCAAAGAAATTAAACGTATCAAAAGTATTAAAACAAGCCCAACAACAGTGGGTCATAGTCCACTTCGTGCATTACCACTTAGTCCATCTGTTCCATCTAATGTCGATCATCATATTAAAGAGGAAGAAACAGCAACATTCTCCTCGACATGTTCAAGTACATCCACAAGTGCAAATAGTACATCGAGTAGTGGCTATTTTAGTAATAGTTCAGCGAATCATCAACGTCACATTCAAACACCGACATCGTCTCATCCATTGAAATCGTGTCTAAAACGAGCGAAAACTGAAGATCTCACAAGCACACCATTAACGACGACTCCATCAACAACAGCAAACGTCCTTGCTGTTGGAACTGCTGGTGATGTGTTTACATTAGCTGCACAAACATTAGCAGATAGACTCGGTGATCATATGATGAAAACACCACGACATCGACGATATTCTGCACCAAGCATATCGTCTCATCAACAAACTCTTTCAATCCAATTACGAACACGCCAAAAAGGATGTACATTATCGGAACATGATCTTCGTGCAAAGAAAAGTGTTAGTTTTTGTGATGATATTGCTCGAAGACTAATCACACCCTCAGCTAGTCCCAAACATCGACCAACACCACCACCATCTTCAGCGGCATTTAGATATGATCGAGGTATGAATGATTCTGTTTTCACATACATTTCTCATTGTTGTTTCTTTCGTTTTTTCTTTTTGAAGAGTATTGTGATTTAGTCCCACGAGAAAGTTTGACAGACAGTCCACCGAGTGAATTTAATCTATCTGAAGACGAATATGAAGATGGTAATGGACCACAGCCGATGAACTTCACCGAAAATGCACCAACAGAAATAACGAAGCCATTACCGGTTAAATATGGAAGTGATAAATATCTCGTTGATGCTTTCGCAAATACAGTTCTTCGCATTTTGGAAATCAAATGTGGTGATCCTCAGGTAAAACTTTACTTTCTTCTTTTCATTTTTCGTTTCTTAACTATTGTCTGCTTTTAGTCATACTACCTAAATAACATCACAAATCGAGAACTCGACCGAACATTACGTCAGGATCTATGTCCTCTTCTACGTGAAGTTCTTGAAGATGGTCTTCGGCAATACAGTGGTTCTTTATTTTCTAAGAAAGTCAATCTATGGCGGTTGATTGATTTAACCACACCAACAACTGGTCGCTTTAACGAAGCAAAACTGAAAGCTCAACTTGGTTTATCCTCAACAGCAGATTGGACAGAAAAATTTAACGGTTTTATCTATCATTTACTCAAGTAAATACACTGCACCATTTGTAAACAGTATACCTTCATCATAATTTCTTTTCATTATAGCCTTCATGAACTGGCTTCATGGTTATCACATTTTGTATCTCATCGTGCAGTCTTTACTGGATATTATGAACCCTGGGCATTCATACTCGTGCATGCAGATAACGATCTTTTTGAACGAGTTACGAATCAATTAGAAAAGCTTTCACCATTGCCATTTCGTCTCAAATATACACATTCATCCACCGTTATTCCAACAGCAAGAACAACAACAACAACGTCACCATCTACTGCAGTTAATCAACGACCTTCATCATTATTACCAAAACGATTCAACGTTCGAGCTTGGTTACGTGATCGAAAAACTCAAGTCAAAATTTCACCAAAGGAGCCACAAGCTCCGGCACTTCCAGCGGCGCCTACCAACAAAGCATCTTCATCCAAATCAGTCTCTTCTACATCCACAAAATCATCGACAGCAGCACCGCCTCCACCGAATGTTTCTATACGACGTAAACTTGGCTCAATTCCAGTACCGAAACGACATCAAACAGTGCATTGAACAATTCATTTTAAAATCTTTGTTTTCTTTATATATGTATATGTCTATATTAATTTATAATTGCATTCAAAATGCTGATATATCAATCGTATATTCTCAGTTGTTGTTCTTGTTTTTCTCTCTCTCTCTCTCTCGTTTTTTGTCAAGTAATTTTTTTAAATGTTTGTGTGTACGTGTGTGTTTATGTTTTTTGAAATAATTCACAGTATTTCTATCGTTTATTTATCCTAATATACCTTTCTCTTTATTCAGTCGCATGAACTGTCCGTGCAGTTCACGTTTTGTTTTCTGTGTTCAAATGGTAAAAAAAGTAAATCAAAATAAATACATACGTATAGTCACCCGAGTTTCGAAGGCTTCATATTCAAACTTCAAACACAAACATCAATATAGTTAAACTTATAGAACAAATCTCGTGAGTCTTCATCGTAACATGCAGTCATGTAAGAAATGCGCTCATCATCTGTGTAATTGTTATTTTTATGGAAGACCTTTTCGAAAACAAATTTACGACATACAAAACGGAATTATTGTCAATAATGCCATCTATCTCGTCGAATATTTTATCATAAAAGAATCAATTATCACGTACTGATGGGTATTTGTTAAAGAACACTAACTCAATGAAAACTAGAAATTATCGAATGTTACATTCTTTATACTATGTGAATCAATTCCGCTATTCCAGTACGAGAATATCTCTTCTTCGTTCGACAAATGATACTCAATCGTACGTGTTTTTTTTCGGTTATTTCAAGTAATTACAAGAATCGAATCGTTAGTGGATACTTTCTTAATCAAGCTTGATTTTAAGCGAAAACAGAGCATGGCTTGGTGGTCTAGTGGTATGATTCTCGCTTAGGGTGCGAGAGGTCCCGGGTTCAATCCCCGGCCAAGCCCGGTTGCTTTCTTTTTCCTTGTTTTTTCTTCCTGTATCGCGTATGTCCTGTTATTATTTGCGTTATATTCATTTACGTGTTCTTCACTCGAAAGATTCGTCAGATGAAAATAAGATTCTTCGTATGTAAACAACAACAGCAGCAAGACGAACATTTCTTGCATATAAACTCAATATTCTCATCTCGTTCTTTTTCATTGCGTACAACACTGAACTGCTCACATAAAGAGTCAAAGAAAAAGAAGAGAAAGAGAGAGAGAGTGAAAGTGAAGAGAAAAATGGTTGTTTTAACTTCTCATCTGTATGAAATCAAATATAAATATATACATATGTATATTTGTTAAGGCAGTAGTAGTCGAGAAATCAAAGAAACATATACACACATGATGATTGACTGAAACTATAGAGAGCATCCGAAGGTAACATGTCGATTTCATCTCACCGAAATGGTAGTCAGAAGAGAATAAACCATCAACGACAAAATCATGATGCCGATGAATACTTTGATTATCGATACTACAAATCACCGTCGAATGCAAGTTATGAATATGAAGATCAATATTATCAAACACGTACAACAAATAATTTCACTCCAATGCGGCGAACGTGAGTAAAACAGTAGATTATGTCTGAGAAACCTACTGAAACCTTTCACTGTAATGAGGATATGATCAATATTTTGTGATTCGAACAATGTCTTAAGGTTTCGATTTGTGATTAGATATCGAATAGGATGCTTAGGAAAATAGAAATCATTTGTTAATCAATTATTGATAAATAGACGTGATTTTGTTTGAACGATCTTGTCAAACGAACATATTTAAGTAAAGTAGGAAATATAGAGACAAATGTATGTTTCCTGATTTTAACGAATGAATTGAAAAAGTTCTTTGAGATCGTATGAATAATAAACCTTTATGTTTTCTTTTCTCGTATCGAATCATTAAGTAACATGACTTGCCATATTTTCCGTAAAGCTCGACTCGAAGAATGACTTTTTCAAATGCGTAGATTGTTGTGTGACAAAAACAAGATTTGTGGCACGACTGATCAATCAATAATAATGAATGAATGACCGGTTTTGTTCTCCTATGGCATGTGAATAAAGTCTCAATTAAAGTTTTGCTAAGAAGATTTTAATTACTGTTATTATGTTTTGGAAACAAAAGAAATGTACTGAGAATATTTGCACACCATTTGTTTTTCAACTGAGAACAGTACACGATGCCTAAAGCAGCAGTGGAAAGGTATTCTTTTATCGAGATTCCAGCAACTTCAGAGTCAAAACATTTGCAAATTCCGACGAGTAATGATGATCTCCTAACGAAAAATTGCGAACCGTATCCACCGGAGCATGGTGTACAAGGTCGTATTCGTTTTCTTGAACCAAACCAGTATCCGCAGCCATCGAGAACACCGCGAAACATACCATCGCTTGAAAGTCTGGAAATGGCATCTTTCGAGACCATGACTGATTTGCATCAAGATGGTCCGAATTCGGTTAGTCGCGGTCTTCAAACGGATATCAATTCCGCATCCGTCATCGATTGGGTCATCGCGCAAAAGAGTTCGTCAACCGCTGATAGGTATAAAAAGATTTAATTTATCAGTGATATGATGGATAAGTACACATAAGTCAAGTGTCTTCTTAGAATGTTGATGGTAGATATGCATAAAAATAAGAAGAATAGAGAAGAAGACCTAAATTGTGAGTAGTTCGAAAGTCATATGCAATGACGATGAAAGACTACACGTAAAAAGAAGAAAAAGAAGAGAGAAAAGAAAGAACAAGAGAAGAATTCTAGTTTCGAGACTGCAGCTTTACTGTTTCATATGTCTATAGGACACTTAGGGATCGTTATCGTAAGAAAAGAAGAAGTGGTAAACAAAAAGAAACGAACAAACCGACTAGTTTGGATTATGATCGATTTTTAATGATATTGAATACGATTCTTATATAATGTCTGCTCTGACTGTATCAACATATAGTTCAATAAATACTTCAATGCGTAAAAACATGCCCAAACAGCGCACACATTAGTAAAACAACATTCTATCTCGACTTCATTTTGTTTTCTTTTACCATTTAGTGTATACCGCAATGACCCACCGGAAGAACTCGGTGCCGACAAAGCTCGCGTTCGAGTTGTGGTTCGGTAAGTGTTCTTCATCATAATCTCAGCGTATCTCTATCAATTTTGTTATTCAACAGTGTTCGACCGATGAATAGTCGTGAATTGGAAAGAAATGATCGAGCTATAATACAAATGGAAAATGATTGTTCACTTATGGTAACTACGACTGATGATGCTAGTTCACTGCTGAGAAGTATCTTTGTATAACAGGTTCAAGGTGCGCAACATAACCGACGGTTTACATTTGACAGTGTTTTTCAAAGTGATTCAACCCAAGAAGATATTTTTCAAAACAGCGGTATCAAACGTCTCGTTGACATGTCGATCGAAGGGTAACAGACTTAACCTTGTTCTATGGTGACTTGAACATTTTATTTTTCAGTTATATTACAACATGTTTTGCATATGGTCAAACAGGTAGCGGGAAAACACATACAATGATCGGTCCCGGAGGTGCAAGTGTTGTATGTACTTTGTTTTCTATGTTAAATCAAACCTTTATTGTGTTCTCCTAGTTTCGTATGGATGAAAACTACCGCATAAAGCATTTCGGATTAGTCCCACGAGCAATCAATTATCTATTTCAGCGTTTACGAGAGAAATCTCAAGAAAACCATTCTCCTTACTATATTCGTGTATCCTATTGTGAAATTTACAACGAACAAGTATGAAGAATGACTTTCGTAGTTACATTTCCTTCTCTTCTTTCTATTAGATTCATGATTTGATCAATCCAGCTCATACGCAAGGCTTACAAATTCGCGGTTCTGTTGAAGATGGATTTTATGTCGAAAATCTCTTTCAAACCTACATTGAAACTATGGATGAACTATTAACAATACTTGAAGAAGGTTTGGATGACATTTTTCTCCATAGTTGTTTATAAAGAACGACTTGTAGGCGAATTAAATCGAGCAATGGCGTCACATAATCTTAATGATACATCCAGTCGTAGTCACGCAATGCTTTCCATTCAAGTCGAACAGGATATAACCGAATCGGAGAATTCTGCCGAGCAAATGACTCGCCAGGGAAAATTGATATTCGTTGACTTAGCCGGTAAAATCCTCGTTCAACAAATCTTTCACGAAAAAACTTCTCCTATTTTTCATTCGACAGGCAGCGAAAAGGTTAAAGTAAGTTTATCGAAAGGTAAACAATTAATTGAAACGAACAATATCAATAAAAGTCTGCTGACATTGGGTACGTGCATATCGGCCCTCAGCGATCCTGTTAAACGTGCCGGTCATATCCCTTATCGTGATTCGAAGTTAACTCGTTTATTAGCTGACAGTCTAGGTGGTCATGGTATCACTTTGATGGTAAGTTGACCTCGTTGATTTTGTTTGTAGTAGTTCTTAATTTTCTTCGAGCTTGCCTGTGTATCTCCATCACACTCGTGTGAAAGTGAAACACTGAGTACGTTACGTTATGCAAATCGTGCAAAGAATATCGAAAATGCGCCGATTGTCAAAACTGACTCGAAAGAAAACGTTATCAATCGTTTGAAACGTGAAGTACGCAAATTGAAAGATGAAAATTACGAACTGCGACAAAAGCTCGGCTCTCAATCCAGTGTTTTACCAAAACTCAAACTCCGACACACCGATTCAGGTTCCCAATCATCAATACGATCATCGGCCAGTAGCGATGTGTATGACAGTCGTCAAGACAATGGGTATATTGGATTGATTCGGTTGATATAATATTCGTGATGAATTTTTAGAGGCCGACTGAGTGGAACAACAACAAGAAGAATTCGCACTGACCATGAACTGTTAACACGAGAGAATGAAAAACTCGTCAGAAAACTTGATCAAGTTATGAGAGAACAACAAGCACAACCCGGTGGAAAACAAAATCATATACACGAACAAGAAGTAGATCCTTTTTTTATTCCTAAACAAATTAATCGAAGATGATTTTCTTGTAGAGTAATCCACCGGATAATCATTACGTGGGAAAAAATGCTCGTGAATCAGACGAAGAAATGTTTGCATCTGAAAAATTCTCCTGTTATCGAAACGCTTATTTTATCAATTCTAGGGTGCAGTTGAGTCGTCGGCCATCTTACACATCAAGATATCGAAATATTCGCGATAAAAATCAAGGTGAAACATCGCCGCAACGACGTACAACCAATACGAATCGACGTGGAGTCGATGCAGCTGCTGTTGACGGTAGTTTTTTTCTTCGATGAATTTCTGTTCTAACTAATCTCCTTTAGTTCGTCGGTAATTTCGCAAATGCCAAATTCTTTTCACAAAATATTTCCATCTTAAGTGGCAGTCAATAATATAATTGATCATTTCGATCTTTTCCTTTTTCTTCTTCTTCTTCATTCGTTGTTTGACATGTGTACAAAAAAGAAATCTACGAAATCGAATATGAAATTTTCCGAAGCAAATGATTTGATATGTAAATGAATTGAAATAAGATCTGAACAGGTGAAGAAGTAAATGCTATTCCTTATTTTCTGATTTTCTCTTCATGGTCAAATGAATTTCTCAATTAGATCGTTGACCTTTCTTTCTACGATCGAGAGAGAGAGGATAATCACGTAATATCATAAATAGAACGATAAATCGATGCCCTTTTACAGCAACATGTTTTGCCATTCGAAATAGCAATCATTCTTCTCATCGAAACTCAACGTATAGATCATCATATTCAAATGAGAGATTAATCAATGGAAACATTTTTTTCACACTTATCAATCAATGGATACATTCACCTGTTTACCACCGATCACAATAGACTACTGTCAATCAGATCGAAGCGAAATAGTCTTATCAGTATTAGCAAGTGTTCTCCTAATGAATACGAGAATGAAAATCAATAATTGATAAAGGTTAGTCTCACTGTAAAGGCAGTAATTTTTCGTTTGGGATACTTCTTGGACAATGATTATGAAATGGCGAGTCGATATCGCGATATGTTGGAATTGAAAACAAAAAACGACGTTTTACGTCAAAATCAACGACATTTATATCAATGTCCGCTAGCTAGAGCACAAGATAAAACAATCAGAGTCATTTCGTTATTCGACTCCTGTTTTGGGAATCATTTGATTATTGTTAATAGCAATATATTTTACATTCTAAAGGAGAAAACACACACGCACACATGAAATTTGTCGTGAAGAAGAAGACAAAGAGAGAAAAAAAACAATGTTTTCTTTTGGTTTTGTCTTTAAGAAGCCTGTGGTGTCAATGGTAAGCCGTACGAAGATGGGTAATATGGTGTTGTAACTGCAAAATTACTTGCTTGTGTATAGGGGAAAGCATTAAAAAATGATGTATAATTGTTTGTATTGTTAACAGTTGTGTTCGAGTGATGGTGATGATGATGGTGCTGATGATGATAGGGATGAGCATGTGTAAATGCACTTGAAATATCGCCATTATTTGATGGGCTTGATGTAAGATGATTTCCATTGGCATAGGGTGATTTCATCGCTGATTCAAATTGATGTTGAAATGTTGGATGATAAGCAACAGTTGGATAAAGATAACGATGATGATGCGCCGCCGCTGCTGCTGCTGCTGACGATGATGTTGATTGGTCATAAGGTGACCATGTCGGTGGCTCGATTTTGCATATTGAACCTGACGATGAGACTGCTGATGGAGTATTAATGGGCGAAAGATCATGCTTAGTCATTAATGTTGCTGATGAGGGTGGTGTAACAGATGATACTGTATTTGATATGAATGAGGATGATGATGGAACCAGTGGTGGAGAATTGGAATTGCTATGTTCACTACTTCCACCTCCACCACTTCCACTGCTTGGTTGAGATAAGGGGCCGATTTTGTTGCGTAAAATACGTGAAATAGATGAGACCGATGGAACATTGAATTTGTCGCATACATTGTCCAATAGTAATTTTTCACGAATTTCCCATGCGAACATTCCCGGATCTTTGACTTTATAGTCACGTATACGACCGACAACCCGTGGCGTCGTTACACGTGGCTTACTCCCACCAATAGCACCAGGTAATACAGAACCTCCAACAGAAGAAAACGAAAAATAAATAACAATAAATCTTTTATTTTGACATCTATTATACCTGTTTCATGGTAACGTGCCAAAATTTTGCTGACACATCCATGTGAAACTTTAAGTCGACGACTTATATCGCATGGACGTACTCCTAAATTGGCCATTTCAACAATTCGTAAACGAATTGGCGTAGGTAAGGGTCGTCCGTTAACAAAGACGCCGCCCAATTGATTAACTTCGCCATAACTTTGATTGGAACTTGTATCATTAAAGGAATAATCTCCTGAAAAAAATCCATAGAACTGATTAAAATTTTGCTCATTTTCATTCCTTGTTATTATTCATAGTTTATCTTTGATAAAATATAAAAACACTCCGGAAGCACGTAATTGTCATCATCATCGATCACATGCACAGTAGGAGTCATTCTTTCTCACATTTACTATACTCAATCTGTCGAAAGGAAGTCGAAGCTGATGATGACGATGATAATAATCATTTAGCAAGTTTGTGAGTATCAATACGAAACTTGATCATCTATCATTTTTTCCTTTGCTGGCATATTGAGCTGTTGCCAGAATTTCCTTTCGGATCGCACATAGATTGGTTGAATAAAAGAAAAAAGCGATTACGATGATCGATGATATGTTTATTTAAAAGAATAGATAATGGGTGAAAGTCAAAATATTGTCTCCTGTTAGAAAATAGATCTCTTATAATCGAAGACATGGGAACTGAATGTGTATCACTTGATTAGAAAACTAACGATTTCTGAAATCTTCTATCGGTCGCTCAGAAAATGAAATACATTGTCAGCGGTGTTATCTTGCTTGACAAAAATGATTTTATGTTACAGTAAGACTAGAAGGGATCAACAAGTTGAATTTCTAAGAAGAGAAAAATACTCTTACTCTTTTTTTTCTCTGCGTCTGTCTTTTTTTGTTCTATCCGTGGACGTTTGTGAAAAAAAAAAGAATAAACTAAGTGAGCATAGAAGTAAATGCTCTAGTGTGTCACTGAGGCAACACGTCTCAACGAAAAAAAAAAATGATGAAACATTTTTGTTATCTCGCACATAGAATCGTCATTCATCTGTAGACAATTTACATACCCATTGCAATCGTTTGTATGTTAGTGGATGCAGACAAAGCAGGTAGGTTGATCTACTTTTGTTACGCTCGGTGTCCCGTGCTTGTGTATGTTGGTTCGATTAGTTCACGGTTCGATTCGGTTTTTCCGTTGCACTCGGTTTCACTCGAATTCACCTTACTGCCGTTCGCTTTCAATTATACTTGCAACGTTGCCTTTTTCTTCTTCTTCTTCTTCTTTTTCTATCATTCGATCTCTCAATCTCTCTTTCTCTCTATTTCTTTGGTACGCGCGCTCGTATCCCTTTTTAGGTTTGGTATTAACACTCCTCTCTGTCTCTCTTCTCTGTCTCTCTCTCTGTCTCTCTCTCTCTCTCTCTCGCTGCTCTATTACTTTAAATGCTTATCGGGTATCAACCATTAAGAATTTATCTCTTTTTCTCTTTTCTTTTTTCGTGTCCGATGTGAGAACTTATCAAGAGAGGAGAAGGAAAAAACGCGAGATATATTTCAACCAATCAACATCCAGATGATACAAGGGAGCGAATAGGAACATTGACTTGTAAAATAAGCAAGAGAAAATAATGAATTTATGTGTTTATTGATACTCTGATCTTTCTATTTCGGCAATGAATGGCATCGTTAAAAATGTATGAACAAAAACGGAAAGTTCTCTTTCGAAAATCGTCTCAGATCACGATTCACCGATAGAACATGATTGACACAACCGACTGTATTGATGAACAAATACTCTGTCTAAGATAGTTGTCGTTATCTGATCTTGTGAAAAACAACGTTCTTGTTTCGGGAAATTTTCCTCAACGATATCTGAAGATCTAAACAGTTGAGTGGTTTTCTTTTGACATTTGAGTTAAACGAAACCTTGATATTATCTCGGAACCTTCATATGAGCACAGTGAAAGTATAGAACGATGTTGTCTATTGACTGTTGCAAACTTTGTATATAGATATATTAAACAAGGAGAGTATATATAATGTGATGAAGACGATCAAATATCATTTACTGACAGACCATAAGGTACTTAGCAATAGAGAGAGAAAAAAGGGAGAGCAAATTGACTCGATGACATTTGAAGAGACACACTGCTTTCACAGTATCATTATTTTCTCTTTCTCGACGTCTTTTCTCACTTTCATTGTTGATATTTAGATGTAGTGGCAGACAAGCGAAACGACGTTATTTGTTCTTGCCATCCAGGCATAGATCACTTCATTAGAGAATTTTGATCCAAACCCAGCTGTTTGCATATGTTACAATTCCATTTTTTGTTTTACTTTCTTTCATTTGAAAACGAATTTCATATAAGCTTTTGATCTTAACAATCGAGTAGGTATTTCTTCTCTCTTGATCGAATGTCAAAATAACACTTGTTCTCTCTTCGTCTCAAGATAAATGTGTTTGTGAAGAAGACACGTGTTGAAAACATCAATGTATCGATCGTTATTGATTAATAAGAGAAAGATGAGCTGTTTCTTTCGAGTTTCGTTCTATGCCGACACCGTGACGAAATTTAAGTCGGCAAACGGCTAAATATTTAGAAAAAAAAAAGTTCTTTTTCTCTTTGGCGTTGAAATGATGATCATTTGATCGACAAGGGATTTATATATGAAAAGAAATCATCAATGAATGTGAATCAAATCAGATGTGTATACACTTTTCTTCTTCTTCTCTAGTTTCAAAGACTCGATTCAAACAAATCAATGATGGTAAAAACATTTGCATCATCTAGTCGAAATTTAAATATCGCTGTTCATTGTCCTCACATTGTCTCTCTAATGGAACAATAAATAATTAGGCGCGCGGCATCGAAACTATGATGTCCTAGTNGATGGGATTACTTGCACACATACAGATTGATAATCGAACATTGAAATAGTACATACACAATCCGTATGATCTATTGATCATTGCAAATAAAGATTTTTCGAACATATTTATCATCATTTATACGGATGTTTATTGTCAAATGGTTCATTTACTGACTCATTACTTTCTCTCAATTGTGCACAAACACTAATGATTTGTTTCGTCCCGACAAACATACACGTTTGTCGGCATGTCGAATTAGGGATACAGGCGGCACTTCTCTTCACTGTAGCTTGATTCAATAATATTGATATGGATATATAACGATCTAGTAATTTGTGTTCTTCTCTGTATCCAATTACAAGAGAACGTATAGAGATGCTTGTTTCGGGTCAAACACAATCGGCAGCCTTCGGGCTGATAGTTTCGAGAAAAGTAAGATTATCTGAAAAAGATGATGATGAAAGAAAGATGCGACTGTGTTTGTTGCCTGTTGTCTAGTCATATCAAATAGAAACATTGATTGGTCTTTGTATGTGCTAAGAAAGAGAGAGAGAGAAAAGACACTGAGTCGTAAATGAACCATTTGACAATAAACATCCGTATAAATGATGATAAATATGTTCGAAAAATCTTTATTTGCAATGATCAATAGATCATACGGATTGTGTATGTACTATTTCAATGTACGATTATCAATCTGTATGTGTGCAAGTAATCCCATCCTATCTGTGTGTGTAATTCGATTAAGAAGATGAATGGCTGATATTATGATAAAGAATTTTGTAAACAAATCAAACGGAAGAATTGAGGCAAATAGCAACCGGTGCAATTGACGATATGACGTTCGCTTATCATTATTTAATAGCTTAGGTTCTATAGGGGTGAGAAGGAACAAGTCATGTGCGTCCTTGATGATCGATATTGGCGGTTTTATCAATGCTTCACGTTAAATTTGAAATACAATGAAATGTCATTTTCCAGGCTGTAGAATGTACTTACACATATGAACTGATTTTATCAATGGGATCTTCTCACTGTACTTTTCAAGAATAGGAGTTTTGATGTTTTGTTTTTAACTGATGTTATCGCGATTGGATTTATCAGTACATAGTTTATTTACAAATGAGTGGTACGATACAAGGAAAAACAAGCAATCGTATGAAATACGGATGTTGATTCCCGTTGTTGCCGGGAGTTATTCAGAACAGGTCTGGTAAACTATGGACTCGATGTCATTCACTTGGTTGATGCCACTGTTTGCGTTGACGGGCTTATTTTTTTCGCACTGTAGAGTGTTTCCGAGGTTGCGGATTGCGTGGAAGGTGTAGATTCGGATGAGAACCTCGATACTGTTGAGGTGGTGGAGTCATCAGTGGAGGTGGATTAAGAATTGGAAGTGGAGCTCGGGGAGACGATGGATTTTGGTGAGAAAATGGATTTGGACGAGGTTGTGGATTCTCTTGCATAGCTTGAGTGGCAAGTGAAGGTCTAGGCGGTTGAGGAGATGGACTTTGAACGAATAATGGATCCGGATGTAGTAACTGTGCTCGTTGAGGAGTTAGATTCGGTGATGGAAGTGGATTCTGTTGTACGGTGGGATTTACGGTGGGCCGTTGCTGAGAAACTGGATTTGGGCCAGAAGGTGAAATTTGTTGTGGTAGGTTTTGTTGAGGTGTCGGGTTTGCTTTAGGTCGGTGTTGTTGAGGAGGTGGATTGGAAGAAGGAATTGAACTTTGTGCAGATGAACCTTTTGGAGGAATTGGATTTGAATGAGGAGACCGATTTTGTTGAGGTGGTGGATTCTCCTGAGGTGGATTTGATTGAGGAGTTTGATTTGGATTTTGAGATCGATTTTCTTGGGGTGGTGGATTGGAAGGAGGTAGTTGAGTTTCGTCAGCGAAGTGTACATGTTGTCGTTTTTGTTTTCGTGAAAGAGCCGATTTTTGTTGAGAAACTAGATTCGAGGGAGGTAGTTGACTTAGCTCAGAAGGCGGAGTCTGTTGAGGCAGATCTTTTTGAGGGGCTTGTGGTAATTGTCGTTTCGGTCTCCATGTACGAGGTGGCTTGTGTTGAGGAAACTTGCTTGGTTGATTGGTTGCGGAAGTTGGGGCAATCACTGTTTCAGGATGAACAGGTGGTTTTCTATCGTCAACAATCACACCCCTTTCCTGACGCGTCTGCGATGGTTGCGTCTGATGATGAGTATTGACTTCAGGTACTTGAGGTTTCGAATGAGTGATACTTCTCTCTAAAGGTAAAGCAATTCTACATTTGTAACTATCTGGTACACCTGCTATTCGTTGAAAGTTATCACTCCTATAATAAATAATCTAAGTTTTTATTTCCAATACAAAATAGCAAACGTTACCAGTTAATAGTTGCACCGAATGAAATTTTCTCTGGGTCCAGACAGTTTTGTATAATAACAATGAAATAAGCTTCGCGCTCACGTCTTTTCGGGTCTTTTGCAATCGCTTCGCACGTATTTAATTCATTGTCGGATATATGAAAATGAGTATTCTCTTTCGAAAACACTCCACTGGTACCTTTCACTTCGAAATAGCAATATTTACTTGTTGATCCTGTACCACGAACAAATATTTCGCGAAAATCTTGTAATTCAAAATCATAGCCAACTGAATCGTCAATATTTCTCGAATAATTTGGATAGATATCACGACGTGCTGATGAACGCCAATTTTTCGTTGGTGTCACGTCTATTGCGCCATAACACTGTTGTAAGTAAGTAAAAAAGAAATGTTCGGCGTGACGACCAATTTTGATGTGTTCAATACCATCGACAATCCTCGGATCTGACCATTGGTTCGGATTATTTTCGCGTTGAGAAAGGTGATTTTGATTTTGTACGGAATCACGATAGATCCGATCGATGCCACGTCGTTCAGCTGCAACCATGGCTCCTGTATCGTCTTCCAAATCTTCTTCCGTAGTACAATGTTTTCCGATGGAGATAACCATCGATTCGATTGTCTGATGATCAACAGGAAAGAGCACGTCTGTATATGAATGAATAGTGGTCTTACTACTTGCAATACTCGACAGATGTTCGGATCGAAATGTCGTGCAGTTACTAATTTCTCTTCGAGCGATCAATTTTGCGTCGTCAAAGGAGAGATATTTTCGCTTATGTAGAAGAGTAGCTAAAGCAGATGTAGCAATGATGGCTTTGGATGCATCACTTTCTACGTTTCCAGTGCATAGAAGAACCATTTTGTCGAATATCCAAAACGGATAGTCACTATCAACCATATATTCATCAATTTCGTTTTCGTTGTCTTCGTTAGCTGGTTTAATTATAAATGAATCCGAAAGAAGCACACTGACACTGGCATATTTCGCTGACACAACTTCGATAGCTGGATCATTGAGTGTGTAACGAAAGATATCTGTCAATTGTTTAAGACTGTATTCCAGATTATGATTTTTATGCACCCAGAGAAGTTTACCACGTCGTTCAAGATAATCAATGTCGTATGTTGCCAAAACTAATGGGCACGTACGTGCAATAAGTGGTAAAAAAAAACTGCGTTTGCCGAAATTTCGCAATAGATTTTGAATGATCTTCGTTTCTAAACATGCATATATAATTGTACCTGCTTCTTTGGGAATCAGTTGTCGATCGATGGTAAGAAGGCCAATTTTCGGTCCTTTCGATGGTAGATCAATTAAATCTTTCAGTTGTTGTGATAGAGAATTACAAGTGAAACTAAAACGCCATTCCAAATCTTCTCGACTGCCATCGGGAGCTGATGGGTGTTTTCTTTCAACGATGGTACGATACAAATCCGGATGATTGTCTTTGTTATCTTTAACACGTTCTAGTATTAATTCTTCTAAATATTGGAATAGAGTTATCATCGTTTCCAATCCATTATCATTTAAAGTTGTAAGACAATCACCCAAAACGAAGAAATTTGTTTTATCTTGACTTGCGAGATAAATCGTTTTATACACATGACTAATGTTAATTTTGCATGTGCAATCTAACAGACTGAACAACTCTTTAAATTGCCAATAGATTTGGTTGTGTGACGGTGAAATAAGTTGTAGTTTGAGATATTTAGCAACAGACAATATTCCATTGAGATGCTTTGTGTCACTAGATACGATAAGAAGTTGTTCCAATGAATAGAAGTCTTTTTGATCAGGTAGATACAAACGACAAGAGGCGAGCAGATTTTTGGGATCAAATTGATTTCGTTGCTGACGAGCATATAGTTGTAGATGTCCTAACCATTGAATGTACAGATCGATGTTGCTGTGTTTTTCGTCACTCAATAATTGAAGTATAGTTGCACACGTACGAAGATCATATTCCACACAGACACCCAACTCTTTTGCTAAAGATTGACAGTGAGAAGGGATGATGAGGCGTGGTAAGGATGGTAAATCGCGAACTATGCTTTCGTCGAAGGCAGCAGAAACAGGAGTGATCTGTTGTTTCGGAGTGGAATTGTCGACGATAGGAAATTGACGAAGACAATCTTTAGTTTTTGGAGTTTGTGCAGAAAGAATAAATTCCGCCAATCGAGCACATTTTTCATCTTTGAATGATGTCAATGTGGGCAAAAGCGGTAAAGATGTGATCGTATAAGTCGGAGGAAGATAAATAGATGGCCGTTGACAATTCATTTCTAATAGAAAATGCTCCCAATCTAAAATGTTGATTAACGAATGACTTGGAAAGTTATGGTATGGATATGCGATAAGAGATGATGTTGTTGGATACATAAAGGAACGAATGTCCACTCCTAAGATGGTTGGTACTATGGCATATTGGATAGGAATGAGTTTGGTTTGATCATTGACTGGTACTAAGAATGGTTTCGATTTGTCTAGTTTAGCTATTTGAGATTTTAAATAAGCCAAATCCTTCCATATTTCGTCGATTAATTTAGCATCTACGTTGCTGTTGCGGAGTGACAGGTATAGTTGTAGATGATCTTGATGTATAATTTCCATGATT